CTCTGATACCTTGTTCGTGCCACACGAGTTAGTTCGTGGGATTTTACGTTTTATTTTTATTAAAAACATTGAGTTGGGGACATATTTAGTTAATTATTAAGTTTTCGGATTACATTTAACTTGGGTATATCTAACTGTATTGCGGATGTTAGGGTATCACAGAATGACTTAGATGAACTCATTAGTTGGTAATATTTGCAAATTGACCTTTAATTATAGTACATATTAGATAATGTAGTTGGGGTCTCATAAATTGGATCACACGTTTAATACGGATAAGAATCCACTCAATCGCGTGACTCAATAAAATTATCTTGGGATTGAGGTGGATAAGTTACTTAAGCCATCAAGGCAATGCTCTCTTACTATTAGCAAAAGTAAGGAAATTTAAAGGTTTATATATAAACATATTGATTATAAGTCAACACGGATAATTGTCTCTCAGTATCAGTCACTAAATAGGTCTCACAATGAATACTATGTACAGGTTTGGTAACATTATATGAAAAGGGGATTGATTTACTGGAAAGGGTTCAAAGGAACACTACTAGGAGGATTCCGAAGATAGAGGGCTAGTCGTATTGAGATGGGTTTAGATTGTACAAAAAAAAAAAAAAGGGGTAAGCGGGTGTTAAAGAAGTTGAGAAGATTATCTGAGGGATGGATAGGATTAAAACATTTATCTTCCTTATGATTAGTTTGAAAAGAGGACAAAAGGACACATGTTTAAGATTTAGAAAAACAAACTAGACTACATCTATAGCAGAGACGGCTAATATGGATTTTAAAAAACCTTTTAATTATAAACACAAAACAAGTAACAACGTTTCGATCAAAGTTTATAATACCCCTTATCAGCCATCACTGCTATAGATTTACTTCAAGTGAGTTCCTCGACGTCACGAGTAGACTACGCTACAGTAGTGACAGTTTTATTTTTCTAACTGGGTAATTGGCTTGTGGAATGTGTTTCGTTGGCATCAGTGGAGACCGGCACATTACAAGAGTTTAATTAAAAAGGAATGGATAATATCGTGAAAAGTAAGGATCTCTTAAACTTTTTCCCTTTTCTCTGGGATCCATGGAAAGCATTGAGGGGACCAAATCACCCCTCGTTTTGTTGTACATTTATATGACATATTATTTTTTACTCTAATTTTATTTATCATAGAAGGAGGTTAGGTCCTATTCTTTACCTTTCTTTATATTTTACTTTAATGTTTTCTTTTGGAGTGAATATAACACGTCCTATGCTTTACCTTTATTTACATTTTACTGTAATGTTTTCTTTTGGAGTGAATATAACACTCCCTATTCTTTACCTTTATTTATATTTTACTTTAGTGTTTTCTTTTGGAGTGAATATAACACGTCCTATTCTTTATCTTTATTTATATTTCACTGTAATGTTTTCTTTTGGAGTGAATATAACATGTCCTATTCTTTACATTTATTTATATTTTACTGTAATGTTTTCTTTTCGATCGAGTATAACACGTCCTATTCTTTACCTTTCTTTATATTTTATATTTATATTTTAGGGTAATGTTTTCGTATAGAATAAATTTACCGAATCCTTTCATTTAGTGTCCTTGTATTATCTTGTATTTTACTTTTAGTTATTAACACTTGAAGCTCATCAAACTATTGAGCAAACGTAACGCGTTACAATAATAGCAGTGTTCGATGGTGTGTTCGGCCATGAATGGTACCTAGGGAGTTTGACTCTATTACTAAACCCGGAGAACTCGCTTCCTCTAATCAAGCGATAAAGCGGGGCGCTGATGCTCTTAGCGACTAACAAGCCGGAAAACATTCGTGCCCTACTCTATTTTTGACACTCGCTCTTCTATGGGCCTGATGTTGTCATGGGAACGAGAACTTATATAAGGATGGGGGATGAAAACCCATATTTGATTCCTTGTATGGAGAGAGGCCGAGTGAATGGAAATAAGTTTGTATTTTTGTGGTTTATCAATGAAGAAAGGCTTCAGTGCGTGTCTATGTACAGACGTTGGTGGTGGTGTAGGGAATGGGGGAGGGGAGGTTGCATGTGTGTATGAACCAGTAAACGTACACAACTTTTAAAAATATGTAGCTATATAACCTTAGGTTTCTCTCTGCTTAACTCTTGGTTGAACTGTTGATCACGGTTTTCAACGTTACTCCAAGGCCAGAAGACTAATGATAATCTGTGAATGATGGTTAAGGCACTCGAATCACAATCTTCTGGTGGCGAGATCGAAACCCGGATGTCGAGCATGCTCGTCCTTTCAGCCGTGGGAGTGTTATATAGTGAAGGTCAATCCTACTATTTGTTGGTAAAAGAGTAGCCCAATAAAGCGATGGGTACTGCTGGCCTGTTGCCTTTCCGCTGGTTGTCAGTTCAAAATCAGGGACAGTGGCAGGTAGCCTTAGAAACTTTTCCAAATCAAATCACACAAACATGAAAATTGTTTATTTAACAAGACTAGCAGGAACACAGTTGATAACCCGAAAAGTGTGAAAAAAGTTCCTTGCTTGTGTACGGAAGAACACTGTCCTAATACAGTAGTAAATTGGCTAATAACGATTTATAAACATGATGAATGTTATTTTATGTAGAGAACATAATATATGTTTCAACAAGATATTCAGCTGTTGTATATACAATGTTCTCTCGAAACTAGTAGCATGTTATTTACATAATTTTCATTATGCTCATAAATCATTCCTGGTCAATTTACTATTCAAACAAAGTTAATTTTTAATATAAAGGAAACGAATTACTCCATTCAGACAATTCCTGGTAGAGAACATAGTCTCTTAACAACAACATTCTATATCAACCCAGGGTACCACTCTACGTCCTTAACAACAACATCCTATATCAACCCAGGGTACCACTCTACGTCCTTAACAACAACATCCTATACCAACCCATGGTACCACTCTACTTTCTTAACAACAACATCCTATATCAACCCAGGGTACCACTCTACGTCCTTAACAACAACATCCTATATCAACCCAGGGTACCACTCTACGTCCTTAACAACAACATCCTATACCACCCAGGGTACCACTCTACGTTCTTAACAACAACATCCTATATCAACCCAGGATACCACTCTACGTTCTTATCAACAACATCCGATATCAATCCAGGGTACCACTCTACGTTCTTAACAACAACAACAACAACCTATATCAATCCAGGGTACCTCTCTACGTTATGAACAACAACACTTTGTATCTAACTATAATCAGTACTCTATCTGTAAAAGTGTTTTTTTATGCGTGCATCTAGAACTAAACTTTTCAACAGGAGTTACCTACATCCATCAAATCAATTGTAATCAGTTTAAAGTAAAGGTTTTCAAGAAAGGTCAATCTCTCTGACTTTTAAATTTGGCATGAAAACATTATATATATAAATTAAACATATATGACGTCCGAGGATTAGACATATTCTAGCGTCCACTTTTATTTAGGTCAAAAGTCATCAAATGCTCCCGAAAATATGTTATTTGTACTTTCTCATTAGCTTATTGTAGGAACTCAGGGTTAACGTGAGGTATTATTGGGTTCGGCCGAAAATAACGTTAATAGTAAGGAAACAATGGAATTTAATCTTTATAAATAATATTGTTTAAATTATATTTAATTATCTATACTCATAATTAGGTATATATGTTTCGTTCTGATCTACAACAATGTTTATAAATAGTATTCATATAGCTATGGGTATAACTACCATGTTTATAAATATTACATAAATATGGGTATTACAACAATGTGTTTAGAAATATTAGTCATATAAATACGAGTATTAGAACATTGTGCTTAGAAATATTATTTACATAGATATTGGTATTAGAACATTGTGTTGAGAAATATTATTTACATAGATATTGGTATTAGAACATTGTGTTTAGAAATATTATACTCATACTTATAGATACAATTGTTCCCAAGTTCTCGTTGGTAATGGTTAAAATACTGGTTAACAAGCATCAGAGTCTCAACCAAAATTCCATCTTTTGAAACGAAGTGAGAGAACAAGAGTAGCTTAAACAAAGTTTTAAAAACAAAGAAACATAAGAGACAAACGTTAACATTGTTACAAATAAGGATATTGCAAACTATCGTGTATTAATAAAGCGTTTAACTGCTGCCATTAACAATGTCTGTCTCAGCAATGTATTAACTGGAAATAAGACATAAGTTCTATAATTTTTTCATGTTTTCTGTGTGCGTGTATTATTTATATGAACGTCTGTTTTGTAAACAAATACGTTAAAATTCACATCTGTGAGTGTTAACAAGTATTAGTTATAAAAAACTGAGATAGTCGAAAGCCGATTTCGACAATCAGGTGCAAAAAAAAAGTTTGT